GAGCTGTAAGGCCAGGAGGGAAGGAGGGGCACCTTGTAGAGTGTTGGTCTGCAAGGTGGTAAAGAGCATGGAGTCGGTTCTGAAGACAGGAGGGAGGGAGCCACTGGAGAGAACCCAGCAGGGCAGTGCTGTGGTTAGATGGTCTTTGCTGGAGAAAGAGCAGCTGGAGAATCCACGGTGTCTGAAAGAGGCAGCAGTGGGCAGAGTGGAAATGCCAACTGACTGGAGCGATTTCAGAGCTGGACTCCCCAGACCTTAAGGAAAACTTAGACAACAGGAGAAGAAGCCTGGTGATGACATTATCCAAGTGGAGAAGAGATGAAGAGGAAGAGCTGACTGAAGGCTAAACACATGCACGCGCTTCCGTGCACCGCCCCAAATGCCACGAGAAAACTAAAACAAAACAACAACCAAACTCCACCGCATTAAGAAAAAGAAGCCAGTGGCAAAGGTCGCATACTGTTATGACTTCAGTCTATGCATCCAGAACAGAGAAACCCATAGAGACAGCAGCTGGTGGGACCGGAGAGAGGCCACTTGTGGGCACAGGGGTTCCTTCTGGGGAGAGAATGTTTGGAACTAGAGAGAAGTAATGGTTGTCTAACACTGCAAATGTACTGAATAGTTCACTTTTAAATTGTTAATTAAAATTGTTTTCATGTAATACATTTTGATCATATTCTTTCCCCTTCCCCAATCCTCCCAACTCCTCCCCATCTTCCTATTTCTCTCTTTCTCTCTCAGAAAGAAAAGAAACGCACAAAACAAAAAAAGGGTCAAAACAAAAACCACAAGAAACCAATAAGACAAAGATAAAATGAGTAATTGCAAGCAGTTCTATTTAATTTATGAAGTTTAAGTTTAAAAAGATAAAAGCAATATCAAATTACAACTAAACAAAAGTAAAAAAAAATTCACCAAGACAACCTGTGGTGCTTTGCAGTCCAGAAGGTCCCCTTAAACCCAAACACACCAACACAAAGACCCGAGAAGGCAGGCTAGTGCCCGATGCGGCGCCCACTCAGTGAGCTGAGAGAAGGCAGGCTAGTGCCCGATGCGGCGCCCACTCAGTGAGCTGAGAGAAGGCAGGCTAGTGCCCGATGCGGCGCCCACTCAGTGAGTTTCATTTCTGTGTGGTCCACGGTCAGAATGGCTTTCTCCTTGTTATCACCCACACTTTCCTTGGGAGATAGCATTGGGAAAGGTAAATTGGCAATAACCTTGTTTCTTGTGGTTCACCCTCTACGTGGCGACCTCCACCTTTGCTACCTCAAACTCTGGCTGACCTGGTAATATGAGTAGACCATCTGTCATGTGGAGAGATACCAGGGGTGGGGGAAGCACAGGCGCACACACAGAGCGGGCGGGGCGCAGGGTCAGGAAACAGTGAGCAAAACTGTCTGCCACTTGTATTGGTCATCAGCAGCTCAGGGAGAATAAAGGGCTCCCTGATGCTCAGTGCATCGTCAGGAAGATTAATTAACATGTGTAAAGGCCACACACAATGTGAAAGGCCCAGTAATGGATCTCCAAAAGCCAGAGTCCCTGTTTTCCAGAAGGGTCATGAAACAAGGAGTGGAAAATATTCCCTAGAAGACAGAGCTGGATGACCCCGGCCACGAAGAACACAGCAAAGAAAGGACTGGGCTTGTCTGGGGTTCTCTTCATTCTCAAGCTGAATCTGATCTGACAGATGTGGTGAGTAATTAGACCCTTGTCCATTCATAGTCTGAATGCTTGCACTGCACGGAGAATGGGGCAGGAATAATGAGAGGCACAGCCCTGTGGGACTATTCAGGAGCGCTCAAATTTGCATGGTCACATGAACCCGAAGGAAGTGGATTATGCTGGCCTGGCCAGGAAGTGGAGACCGCCAAAGCGTTCTCATTTGCATAAATCATAGGGCTGGAAACCAGAGGGGCTTATGCTCCCTCAAAGGAGCCCAGCTGCAGAGGTCTGTCTGTGCATCCTGCCTGTCCGAAAGTCCTGCACATCTCTGTGGCTACAGCCTACTCAGAAAGGCTCCAAGTTCACTTCATCTGAGGTTCTGTCAACATGTGCCTTTACATTTCCAGAAATGTGATTTTTTTAAACAGGTGAGGTTGCTGCACAGACTCTTAGTGAAGGGATTTCTTTAACCTCGCGGGGGTGGGGGGGGAGGTGATTTGGTAAGGGTAATGCCTTTCATTATGACTGCTGCTGTCAACACATTTCTAATTGTGCAACAAGGTACTTAGGGAAGAATTGTTTGTGGCTTTAAAAAATAGTTAATGCCTCTCAAAAAGGATTACTTTCATTTTAAGCTTCAAATGAAGGCTACCAATTAATTAGTCCATTTACATAAAAATGTCTTGGATCGGTTACCTGAAAAGATAAAGGATGAAATCCACCCTCTAATTGGGGGAAAAAAGCAACGTGGAGTAAACACGCAGGAGTCCTGGGCCAAAAGCAAGTGGGAGTTATTAATTAAAAACAAATGTCAGAAACTCATTTTTTTCTATGTGATATGGGTGGTATCAATATGCTAATTGAATAACTTTTCCTTCTGTGCTGTGTCACACAATGTCTCCACTGTCACGCAGCTAGTCTTGCACACACTTGCAGTCTCAGCAACAGGCAGGCCAAGACAGAAGGACCTCAGTTTGAGGCTAGCCTGGGCTATAGATCAGGATCTAGACCAGCCTGGATTACATAGTGAGGCTCCATTCCAAATGTACACACCAACAAAAAGACACGCAGAGCTTCGGGATGGCTCAAGAGAGGAGACGGAAATCCCCCTCAGTCCTCCATCCCAACACAGAAGGCGAGTGGCATGCTACCTCCTCCTGTCATAGGCCTCAGGCCATCCTTTTTGGCTAAAGAGAGAACTTTTACTCCCTTCAGTAAGTACTGTGTGAGTCCGACATGAATTCAACATGGGCATAGTCAGGACAGACTTCAAGAGACCTCAAGGGCAACAAGGAAGGCAGATATTTACCACTGAGAAAACTAAGTTTCTTAATCACTTTAAAATATACAACTGAATGGAAAGTATATATTACCCAGACTAATTACATGTAATTTCTTGGCATTAGACATAAATTATTCAGACGATCCCAACGGGGACAAAATTAAAGATTCTTCTTTACAGTGGAATTTTCATTGTAAAACACAGCTCACTGCAAGTCCATGTTTCTAATAGCCTGTCCTGTCTTTAAAGACGCACATCTGTTTTCACAGGTGGAGGGGTATTAGGGAAACGGCTTTTCTCATGGGGTTTATTGACATAGGTGACAGGAGAGGAACGGAGAGAGAGTGAGAGAAAAGAGGAGAAAGTAAGAAGGATGAGCGGGAAAAGCGAAGGAAAAGAGCTGGGCAATGGCTCAGTTGGCCGAGTGCTTGCTTGCCCAGCATCACTAAGCCGCTGCCGGTGCCAATGAAAGCAACACACAGGTGGGTGCGGGCCGCACAGCTGCACCCCCAGCTCTGGGGAAGTGAAGACAGGAGCAAAGGGGTTCAGAATCACTCTGGGATACACAGCGTCTGGGGTCAGCCTGGGCTACATGAGACCTGGTCCAAAGAGAAAGGAAGAGCAAAAATAGAACAAGAAAAAGAGAAGAGGCAAGAAAGAGCAAGGAGGAGGACGGAGTGGGAGAGGAGGGCGGGGGAGGGAGAGAGGGGGGAGGGGGAGAGGAGGGCGGGGGAGGGGAGAGAGAGGGGGAGGGGGAGAGGAGGGCGGGGGAGGGAGAGAGAGGGGGAGGGGGAGAGGAGGGCGGGGGAAGGAGAGAGAGGGGGAGGGGGAGAGGAGGGCGGGGGAGGGGAGAGAGAGGGGGAGGGGGAGAGGAGGGCGGGGGAGGGAGAGAGAGGGGGAGGGGGAGAGGAGGGCGGGGGAGGGGAGAGAGAGGGGGAGGGGGAGAGGAGGGCGGGGGAAGGAGAGAGAGGGGGAGGGGGAGAGGAGGGCGGGGGAGGGGAGAGAGAGGGGGAGGGGGAGAGGAGGGCGGGGGAAGGAGAGAGAGGGGGAGGGGGAGAGGAGGGCGGGGGAGGGGAGAGAGGGGGGAGGGGGAGAGGAGGGCGGGGGAGGGGAGAGAGAGGGGGAGGGGGAGAGGAGGGCGGGGGAAGGAGAGAGAGGGGGAGGGGGAGAGGAGGGCGGGGGAGGGGAGAGAGGGGGGAGGGGGAGAGGAGGGCGGGGGAGGGGAGAGAGAGGGGGAGGGGGAGAGGAGGGCGGGGGAAGGAGAGAGAGGGGGAGGGGGAGAGGAGGGCAGGGGAGGGGAGAGAGAGGGGGAGGGGGAGAGGAGGGCGGGGGAGGGGAGAGAGGGGGAGGGGGAGAGGAGGGCGGGGGAGGGGAGAGAGAGGGGGAGGGGGGAGAGGAGGGCGGGGGAGGGGAGAGAGAGGGGGAGGGGGAGAGGAGGGCGGGGGAGGGGAGAGAGGGGGAGGGGGAGAGGAGGGCGGGGGAAGGGAGAGAGAGGGGGAGGGGGAGAGGAGGGCGGGGGAAGGGAGAGAGAGGGGGAGGGGGAGAGGAGGGCGGGGGAGGGGAGAGAGAGGGGGAGGGGGAGAGGAGGGCAGGGGAGGGGAGAGAGAGGGGGAGGGGGAGAGGAGGGCAGGGGAGGGGAGAGAGAGGGAGAGGGGGAGAGGAGGGCGGGGGAGGGGAGAGAGAGGGGGAGGGGGAGAGGAGGGCGGGGGAGGGGAGAGAGGGGGAGGGGGAGAGGAGGGCAGGGGAGGGGAGAGAGAGGGAGAGGGGGAGAGGAGGGCGGGGGAGGAGAGAGAGGGGGAGGGGGAGAGGAGGGCAGGGGAGGGGAGAGAGAGGGAGAGGGGGAGAGGAGGGAGGGGAAGGGAGAGAGAGGGGGAGGGGGAGAGGAGGGCAGGGGAGGGGAGAGAGAGGGGGAGGAGGAGTGGCGTTGGGGGTGGAAGGAAAGGATTAAAAAAATTCAATAAAACCAACCCCCTAAATTTACTGCGGGCACAAGCTGTGCCGAGTAGGAAGACAGAGCGCTCAACCTCGGGGAAGATAAGACGTGAACTGGCGGTGTCCACAGGTCCCCGTCAAAGGGGCTCTAGTGTCAGTGAGCCGGCAGGAAGCGACACTCAGGCATGCTGGCCCCTCGCCATCCCTCGCTCAGTGTGAAGGACAGGTGGAGTGGTGTGCTGCCCCTCTTCCGGGCTGACAGACTCAGCACAAGGCGCCCATCAACAGGCAGGGCTGAAAGGAGGGGTGGGGCTGACCTCCGGAAGAGAACTCGCAAGGTCTGGTAGAGTCCTCCGAGAAGCCAGGACATCCATGGTGCAATCTCTCCTCCCTAAAGAGCCCGCTTTACCTGTGAAACCAGGTCACTCCCGTGTTTTCTCCATGAGCTCCGTGTCATCCCACCCTCCCGTTGAAGAGGATGCCCTCTGGAGACCCAGCTACAGGGACATCAAAGAGCTTAACCTGGTGATGCTGCTGCTGGGCAAGAGGAAGACATCCGAAGTTTGGATGCTCAGTCCTCGGCCTCACAACTCTGTGCGGTGGGTGGCGGTACGGAGTTTTCTTTTTTAATCCACAAAGAAGGTTAGAAGAACTTTCCGGAATCAGGCAGACCCAAGTATCCATCCGTGTGTGTGTGTGTGTGTGTGTGTGTGTGTGTGTGTGTGTGTGTGTGTGTGTGTGTGTGTGTAAGGTTGAGTCTCTTCTTCCATCCTGTGGGGCCTGGGGATAAACTCAGGTTGTCCGGCTTGCAGCAAGGCCCTTCCTTCCCCTCTTCCCCTCTTCCCCTGACCGCCTGTGCTCCCTCTTCCCCTCTTCCCCTCTTCCCCTGACCGCCTGTGCTCCCTCTGCTGCTCCTGTGGCAGTGGCAGTGGGTCACAGCACAGGAGGGCCCTTTCTAAGCTGCTGTGCCTGGAGACGGTGCTGAGGCAGCTCCCTGATCACCCCCTGCACACTCTGAATGGTCTGAGACCTGGAGGGGAAGCCCTCCTTAGTTTCTACATAGACATGGGACTTCTTAGCCTCAGAGTTTCAGAATTTTCAATGGTAAATGGGGACAGATGGCAGTTTCTGTCTTTTGGGGACTGTTGACAATTAGTGGTGGGCACATTACTTGGCCCAGAAAAGGCCCCCAGCGATGCTAATTCCTGCGATTACTAACACAGAAAAAGAAGCAGAAGTCTTTAAGGCTATGGGAAGCCTTAAGGCTATGACACACTGTTTAAGGTGTGTCAGAAACTGCTATCCATGAGAAGCGCAGGCCCTGCGTCACCACCTTGTCAAGTGACACCTTCGTGTTAATTATTACCTTTTTGTGACTGTACAGTGACTTTTCTATTCCTGCATATGACTTCTGTGAGTTCTGGGGTAAAAGGTGGCTCAGAAACTTTCTCATCAAGCCTATGTGGGCCCTTTTTAAACCATTAAGAAGAAACAAAAAACCAAAACCAGAGAGGAACCCCACGAGGGGCCGCATGATCCTTAAGGCTGAGAAGTTAGACTTGTAGGCTTCTGGGGACAGCATGGCCACCTAAAGGGACATGATCAGAATATGTTTCCTCGATTACAGAGGGGGATAGTAAAAACATCTCTCACTTAGGGCCACTGTGAAGACTTTAAAATGTCCACTGACATCAAGTACCAGCCACATGGAATGGATGCCATGCTCAGGTGGCTGTCACTATACAATTCTCATGCAGGAGTCAGGATGCTGCTCCTAGGAGGAGACAGTGTGAGACACCGCAGGGAAGCATGGGGGGGGGGCGGAGCCCCAACCCACCCCTCAACAGGACTCTCTTTTCTCCTGCTCCAGGAAATTTCTGCTTGAAAATTATCATTAAGCTGGGCCCTTTGTGTTGCCTGAACTTAAAAGGTGGTGACACCTGGGTTATCAGGTTTTGTTTGTGAAGACAAAGGTCACCTCAGACCAGTGCATGTTCTGACCTGTCTGACCAGGTCCTTTGGTATGCCTTGAGTGGCAATCAAGGCAACTTTCTTCTTTCTTTTCATGAGCTAGAAAAGCTGCCTGGGTGGATCACAGGGGATGCTAACAGCAGAGGTATTTCTAGAAATTTCTTGCTCATTTATTAGTTGTTGATGAACGTAAACTGTCACTTGGACACATACCCAGATAATCTACTGACAGTTTCACTGGCTGTGTGACATACTCAATTTTTCTCTTTTCTTTTTTAGCCGATGTTTCCACTTGTATTTAATAAAAAGAAAACAAGAACACACACACACACACACACACACACACACACACACACACACACACACACACGGAAGCTTGACTCTCCACAAAGGCACAGCCTGACAGAATGTGAGAAGCTTGTAGAGGATCTGAGTTCTATTCCTTAGGACGCTCACAAGTGCCTCTGATTCTAGCTCCAGAGGGATCTGATACCTCTGGCCTCTGAGGGTACCTGCACTCACATGCACGCCTTCATACTCGCCCTACACACACACACTATTAAAAATAAAATAAATGTTTAAGAATGTGAGAAGTCCTGAGGCAAAAATCCCTCTCTGTGGTATGTGAGGCAGCTGGGGATGCTACCACTTCCCCTGCTCCTGCTGGGTCCAGGGTGTTCTGTATACAGTCAATCTCACCTGCCTCCAGAAGCAGGGCATGCTGGGAGTGCAGAGTGAGCTCCACTGGGGAACCATACCGGCTGTGGGAATGATGGGGAAGACAAGACTCAGATTCAATTCCTTGCTGACTCCCAGGAGTCAGGAGAGCTAAGGTGACTTTCACAAGCCTGGATTTTAGTGCCAAATTTTGGATCCCTTCAAAGAGCAGGTTTCATTAATGCCGAGTCTTCAGAGAAGAAAGAAAGGGATGACGGAAAGAAGCGAGGGTAAAAAGCAGTAGAGAAGCAGCCACACGGCTTCCCTCCATCTATAGTCTTACTGTGAACATTAAACAGTGTTTTCCTCCAGTGGTTACTGTCACTATAGCTTTTCGGCCCTGACAATGGGTCACATTTGTTGCTATGACTTATTTCACACAATGTGAATGTGAATCGACACCTACGGAATCTCAGTGAAGTTCAGCCAATGGTACTTATTTCATGCTCTAGGAGAGTCTTCAGTGTTAAAGAACAGCTTATAACTATTTCTTGTCAAATTTCTTTATGTAAGGCATTTCAACTTCCTACAAATGACTAGACCCCTCTCCCCAATGCTTTCCCTAATGGATAGTAACTTCGTTCTGTTCAGCTTTGGTTCAGCTAAGGTTTGCAGATACGTGCCACAGGTCTTGTTCATAGGTGTGTGCTGGAGAGGTCTTTGGTGGAGGAGGACACATAGGCCACACAGCAGGAGGTGGGGTGGGGTAGAGTGTAGAGCACCTTCGGCTTCCCTGCATCTGCTTCTCAGACCATCTGAGATGAGTGAGTGGTTCCTGCTTTGTTTATAATGTCCAACTGCTGAGCACTGAGGAGTCTTAGTCCTACCCACATGAGGACAAGTGGGGTCTTGAAACCAGTGGTTCTCACCCTTCCTAACACTGAGACCCTTTATTACATTCCCTCAGGATGTAGGGGCCCCAACCATAAAATTATTTCATTGCTCATTCATAACTGTGATTTTCTACTGTTATGAGTTGTAATCATGATATAAAATATCTGATATTCAGGTATCTGATATTTGACCCCCAAGGTCAAGACTACAGGTTGACAACTGCTGTTTTAAAAGGTAACAAGTGGTGACCTGAAGAGGTCACTGAACAACGCAGAGCATTGAGGATCAAAAAGAGTAATGGGCCACCACGTATGAAATGGAGAAAACACAGAGACTTACAATGATTAGCCATGTTAGAGAGTCTTGTTTAATTCAATCATCAGTGTTCTAAAAATGGTTAGATGGGCAGGAAGGTATTTGGGCAGAGTACTCAAGAAGCTGATCACATGTTCTTCGATAAAGAAGAACAGCCAACAAATGAGAAAGCAGCAGAAGCCAAGCCTACCAGTGCTGTGCTGTACTGAAGTGTACTGTTGTACTGCACTGTACTACACAGTTTTAACCTGTCCAGACATCGCCGAGAACGCTTGCTTAAAGCCATCTGGTCAACAGGCTGATAGAGGACGCCGCTATAGACCAGTACAGTGGGTATAATAGAACCTACTGATTAATCTTGTAATCAATAAAAGTGATGCAACCAGACATCAGGCGCCTCCTGGAATGATGAAATTTGTATTTCATTATGTCTTTAGCAGGCACTACTTGTTTACACAGAGAACAGAGGAAGAGGAATGTCTTCAACAGCACCACAGAGATGCCATAGGCCAGACCTACAGTGGTGACATTGTTATAGAGCATGAGTCTGACTCATTCACCAAGTAAATGCAAGGGAAGAGGAAGAGGACCTGCACACTAACACACACTTGGGTGTGTCAACCAAGTGAAGGTATGCTGGATCTCGATTTAAACTGCTCAACTGTGGACAATTTTGAAGCAGAATTTGCAATTAATATTAAAGCTATTAAGTGTGAACAGGGCACCATGCTTGAGTTCCTAAGCAGTTCAGCTGCATGCACTGGGGCTCTTCACTGAAACACTATAGGTAATGCCCCCGATAAACAAATAAAAAATGAAACGGAAGGAAGGAAGGAAAAGAGGAAGGAAGGACGGAAGGAAGGAAGGAAGGAAGGAAGGAAGAGTGGGAGGGTGGGAGGGAAAGGTAAAACAAGAACGGCCCGGCTGTCCACACCTGTAACCCCAGCACTTGGAAATGAAAAGCTGGGCTGTGAGGCTGAAAGCCAGTTCCAGCTACACAGCCAGATCCTGTTATTAAAAAGCAAAGCCACACTCAACCCACAATGATAATGTTAGTCGCTACTGAAGGTGGGTAGTGGAGACATGGGGGCTCCTACATGATTTTCTGCCTTTTCACATATAAATTTTTGAAATAAAGATGTAAAAGAAGCAAGGAGTCTAAGACAAGGCAAACAAAATAAGCAAGCTAATGGAATTGCAGCCCTTATCTACTGGGTCAAGTTCATGGCCACATGTGGCAGGCCTAGGACCCGAGGGAATGCAAGCACAGATCACACAAGAGGACTCAATCTTGCCACCTTCTCTTGTTCAGGACAGCAAGGAACCTGGGGACCAACAGGAGGAAGCAATCCTCAAGAAGGGATGGAGGCTTCCAGAATCTGCATGGGACAGGCGAGCCTTAAGATCTAACTATGGGCCACTGTTCTCGTTAACCTCATCCTCAAGGAAAACCCGAAACAAGGACCAGCAGAACCATACAGTCCCCAAATCTATGATTTTCAGTTGGCAATATGCTGTGAACAGGATCTTCAGATGGTCGAGGGCCAGTGTATTTCAAAGCCGCACGTCTTTTCTTCAGCCCCCATCTTCTTGCATTACTATGCATTTCTGGAACTGTAATCAACTTTGCCTTTGAGGCAGTTGAGTCAAAATCACTATCAATATACTTGACACAAAAAATTGACTTCCTGGGACCTTTAATATCCTCATGCCAGCTTTTTTCAATTAAGTGACCACAACCAGCAAACCACTCTTACCATGGGTACTGTGTGGGGCACTAAGATATGCAGTGTCTGCAACAGCGAACCACAAAATGCTGGGTCAAGAAGGGAAAAGAAAGTTTCTCATACACATTCTTAAAGCATTATTCAGATTTACAATCCTCCTCGCTCTTGCTAGGAATGGTCCCCAGGCGTCCACAACTGCACTCGGAGGCTGCCCTGGTACAAGCTCGGGCTGCAATACCCATGGGATGGCCACACTGTCCCAACCTCCCCAGAAGTGGGGACACTCGGTTACTGTTGTACTCTCAGTGGTTATAGGAGCTTCATCTCATTCCTTCATCAACTGAGAACTACACAGAAACCACGCCTAACTGTGCTCTCTAGTTTTCTCTGAGGTTATCCCACACCTTCAGACTATATTTACTTTTTGCATAATTAGTCACCGCTTCCTAATCAACAGCAACCATGTTTTGGGAAACATGGGTCAAATCACGCAGCAGGGGTGGCCATCTGAACTTGAGACTGTCCTGGGGATTCAGAAGTCAAGCTGCCACACGTGCACACAGTATGTGCCTTCCTAGTTATTACGCAGAAAGCTTGCACAAGTCGCTTGTCCAGGCACCCTGGCACGCTACAGCCAATCTTACCGAAGAATGAAGCGCTGGATGCTACTGCAGGCGCCAAGCTCAGGGCTCAGTTGTGGTCCCACCCACGCTTCACCCACTCAAAGCATTCAGTCCACTGTGACGCTGTGGACTCGAGGAAGAGGCCACTGTGCCGAGGCTCGCCATTTTCGGTTCAGGTAAGATCCCGTTTGTCTCCCTACAGGCCAGGCTGTTTTTCTTTTGCAATGCTGTAAACGAACAGGATTTATTTCTCACATCTACCTGTAATTTGGTTCTTGTTGACCAGCTTTCCCCATTTCCCTGGCTTCTGGTAACTGACACCCTGTCCTTCTATTTCTGAAAACATTATTTGTGTTTTGTATTGGCCTGAATGTATGTGTGTGCACCAAATGCATGCCTGGTGGCCGGGGAGGCTGGGAGAGGTTTGGATTTCCTTGAACTGGGGACACACAAGGTTGTGGTGGAAACAAACCCGGGTCTACCGCAGAAGGCGCAGGTGCTCTAACTCTCTAGCCGTCTCGTCAGCCACAGTGTGCACTTTAAGTCACTTGGTTTTTGCTATAGAACTGTTTGAATTCCTTATTTACTTTCACATATCCAGTCTACAAACACTTTCTCCCATTCAGGAGGTTGTCTCTTCACACTGGTGATGATCAACTTTGTTGTGGGGGAAGCTTTTATGTTTTATTTAATTCCATTTATCTATTTTTGCCTTTGTTTTCTGTGATTTTGGGGTCATATCCAATAAATCCTCACATAGCCCTACAACATTAAGCAACTCTCCTATACTTTCTTCTAATGGTTTTATGGTTTTCTTTTGTATTAATCATTCTCATTTGATTTCTGGACATGGTGAAAGACGGTCTACTTTCATTCTTTTGCATGTGAACGCCCAATTTCCCCCAGAATCATTTGCTGAAGAGACTGCCCTTTCCCCAGAGTATGCTCTTAGAACACTGACTGAAATTAGCATCTGTATTCTTTGAAAGCTCCTCTGGTGATTCTTACCAGCAATCCAAGCTGGTGGCCACTGTGTTAAACTGACTCGTGTTTCCAAAGGACTCCACACAAATAAAGGAGACCCTGCACTGCGGCCGCCTCTTCCTCCCAGACAGTCTCAAGGGACGCAGCACCTCGGGAGATTCTAGTCAAACTTATCTGAACATGAGGCCCGTGTACAAGCGTCGATTAACACAGATGGAAACTGCTTTTGCACCTCCAGGGAAACTAGTAATGAAGGCTGATAACACTGGCTACACCTTTAAGCAGAAAGCCCACACTGTTAAGTGTGAAGGATAAAGATTAAGCCTTTTCCTCAAGAAGGATAAAGAAGACCTCTAGTTATCCTAGGCTCTTAACTAGAGACAAAGATACATAACCTCATAGTTACAAGGGATCTCACAGCTATGTAACACACACACACACACACACACACACACACACACACACACACACACACACACACCCATCTCCGAGCATCCTCTCAGATGATCATTTAGCCACAGACTGAGTTGTTCACCCACAAAGGGATCTCATTCCTTCTCAGGAGAACACACTCCGATGCTGGGCAGATCAAGCGTTCTTTATGCTGGCTCACAAGCAGCCTGCCTCTAACCTCCACTGTTCACAGCTAGGTTGGTGTCTGGCACAGTAGTGGAAGGAAGGCCTCCTTTCTTTCCCACGGGTGTCCTTCAGCGCTCTCGGAAGGTGGAGCATGGCGCACCACAGCAAACACAGGGCTGTAAGAGGAGCCCAGAGACTTAGATTTGAGTTGCAGCTCTGCCTCAGACTTTCTGACATCGCAACTAAAGCCCTCAGGCTTGACTTTCGTCATGAGTTTAAAAATTGCATGGAAACAAAGACAATAGGAAACTGGCATACTTGTGAACCCTGAATTAAAAGTGCAAGTCAAATGCTTTATGATTTCCAAGCACTGTACAAAACGAGCTGCTGTGTTTGTAGGACTTTAAGAGACAATATTTTTTATGTTTGAACAGATTTTGGTCAGTTGACTCCTACATTATCCTTGTCTTCTGAAGCTAGGTACACTCAATGCTAAACAAGGTTGTTAACGATGCCCATGGGAGCTCCAGAGCGCCCTCTATCGGCCACTTGCTTCACTGAGTCAGTGACTCCCAAACATGCACATTCTTGTGCAATAGCCTCGGTAACTGTGTGCTGATACCGCCTGCTAATTTGTGAACAGACTAGAAAAAATAAAGAACAATGGTCTCAGAACCAGAATCGGGACTAGAATCTGCTATTCACTATGTAAGTGGCCTTGGACAAATTTGCTTACCTCAGTTTCCCCACACATACAAGGAGAGAAGCAAGATATTTTATATGCTGCTATTAAAACAAAACAAAATGTGTCAAGCCCCCAGCAGAAAATTTTGTTCATTTGATTGCAGGATATTTTAACCAGGACAGTTTTTAAAAAATCAATGAAAAACCTTTTTGAAAAGTCTACATAACATCTAGAGCAAGCAGAATTTTAGGGCCTTCAACTGCATGGAGACAGAGTTCCAATTTACTATCAGTTCTCTGTAGGATCCACATACATCACCTCTTAGGCCCTCATGTCATTTGAAAGTCCCTCCCTGTAAAGGGGTGCATTTGTTGCTAACTTAGTTCTGCTAACTACACTCCTGAGGTCAGGGAACAGCCTTTGTAAAAACTCGTAGAAACAGGTATTCCTCCAAAGAAGAAATACAAACAGCAGGTAAACACAAGAAAAGATGTTCTCCATCATTTGTCCAGTAGGGGATGACACTGGAAACCACAGACTGCCCTGCATCCACTGAACAACTCTAACAAAAAGACAGACAGTAGCAAGTGACAGGAGAGCTGAGGAGCTCAGACCCCAAGATACAGCTGATGGGTGTGAACAGAACATTCTCCTCACCACACAGCTGGCAATTCGCCAAACCTTTAACAGGGAGTTACTGTAGTACCTACAGTTCTATTCTTAGGTACACAGGAAGAAGAAATGGAAAGATATGTCCACAAAAAAGCTTCTCAACAACACTAGTCATACTATTCAAAAGGCAGAGAGAACCCAAAAGTTTGCCACTTGATAGACAAGCAGATGAATAAAACTTGTATGTATGCGTGTGTACATGCATGCATATGTATAGTAGAAGGCTATTTGCCAACCCAAAGTCACCCAGTGTTAACACAAACCTCAACATGGACGAACCTTGAACAAACTGTGCTAAGTGAAGGAAGTCAGACACAAGAGACCACCACATCACATGTGGCTCCATGTATGCGGAATGTCCAAAACTGTCCAATCTGCAGAGACAGAAGACTAGCCGTTGTCAGGAGATGGGGAATGACTACTAGTGGGCACCTGATTTCTTTCGGGTGATGAAAATGTCCTAGAAATGATTGTGGCGATGGCTGTGTGACTAAGTGAACATACTAAGAGCCAGAGAACTACATTCTAAATGGGTGAATACATGGTATGCAAATCATATCTCAATAAAAGCTACTAAAAACTCAATGGAGGCACACAATCATTAAACCATAAGGCTCAAGGATCAATTAAATTTGAATCAGAGTGCAGGGAATATGTATATTTCTACAAGGGCATTTTATGTGGATAATTGCTTTATATGTTCAATTGCTTTAAATCCATTTTTTTTTGCATTTGGATTATTTTTTCCAGGAGCAGCTGAATTTTAAGGAAGTAAATAATAAACAAGGCTATTGTGGCTTAGGAAACGAATTTCTTTTCTTTTACTTCCTAGGACTGACTCGATGGTGTAAAAGTCTATTAGGAAAAAGAATGGTGAAGTCTGAATGAGAAAATGTATTTCATCGGGGAAGATAAAAGTCTTTCTTCTCTCTAGTGAATACAGGTGATTTCAGAAGCAGCGACTCCTAATTATTCACTGTTGAAAAGCTAAAAAAAAGGTTCACATTGAAAACAGTGACCTCCAGTTTGCTCTGTGAATGAAGACAGACACAAATTCTCATTTTCCTGGAATCCTGGTTGATAAGTGAGTTGGGGAAATGCATGCATTTCTTCATTACAGTGCAGTCGACTGTTCATTTAAATGACAATAACTGGCATAAAAGCCACATAAGCATTATCTAGCAATTCTACTGTGTTGAAACGCATTATTAGAGTGAACAATGCTAAGTACAGTAAATAAATGACTGCCCCTCATTTTCAGCATTACTCCTGCTTACTTAGCTTTGTGAGAGGGTACCATCATTATGACTGGTGCATTCAACACCTCGGCCAACACCATTTGCTTGGGTAACTCTTGAACTGGAAAGGATTTTAAAATAGTTATGGTCTTTTCTAGCAATGGAAGGAGAGGGGAAAGTCATCCAATCCAGTACTTACATATCAGGTATTTTCAACAGAAAATAGTTGAAGAAATCAATGTCTATTCACTATGTCTCTGTAAAAACTAAAGGACAACACACACAATAGACGGGTTTAAAATTGTAAAATCTGCACCAGTGGTTTAACTTGGAATCAGATGCTTAAGAACCCGCTAATAGTTCTGCCTTTCAGGTTCCTTGTACTCCAAGTAGATGCCTTTCTCTGCTTTCTGTCTTTTTATACCTGAAATGTCTAGCATCCCACCCAAAGCTCCCAGCAAACCTGCTGTATCTTCTCTCTCCCAAATGTAGGACAAATGAAAGAAGCTATTTGAAATCATTTCCTCTTGAGTCTCCAGCTTGCACACAAGGGTGATGTGGTAGACAGTACACGGCGGCGGCGGCGGCGGCCCTGGAACATTTGAAGCCAGGTCTTTCCATCCATGTCCTCCAGACATGCGCATCAAGTCACAGACAAGATTCCTTATAAATCAACAAGCAACATCCTCGTCGAGTCATGATTCAGAGTTGATAATTCGTTAGCGGTGAGTCACTTTCTCCCCCAACCTCTTGGAACCTCTAGGATTTCTATACAGCAAAGCTCAGGGTGAGAAGAGGTGCAGGGGCACAGCTCTGAAGCTGTGTTTGGGTGGTAAGAACTGTCCTGTCATTCTCCAGTTTCCAGAGTGCCCACCCACAGGTCCCACCTTGCCATCCTGTGCTCCAGTGGCTAGCCCTGAGCACTACACTGCACTAATGCTCCCAAGTTCAGTTCCTTCCTGTCAGGCCAGGCATCGGACGGACTAGAGCAAGTGCAGTACAGCTGAAAATGCCTTGCACATGCCTGCTGCTATCCCTATCCCACACCCAAATTTACAATGTTGTCTAGGGCTGACTCTCACTCGAGAGATGACTGACTTTTTTTAGCACATCTTTACTATGTCTGGAGATCCGTGAATGTGTGTGAAAGGACGAGTAACATTGAGACAAGTCGGCTGCAAAGGACGAGTGGGCAAGAGCGGCCCATGCATTTCAAATGCTTCTTGCTCTTTCCTGATCCCAGCTGGCACTTCTCTTTATCCTGTGGACTTTTAGATAAAAGGTGCATCAATTTCTTTCCTGGTATCTTCCCTTGGGTCAGAGCTTGTGGGACCCATAACTTCTTCCTTGGACTCATCTCACTTGGGATCCCTAGGTGGTCCACTCCCAGCTGGCGGATTCCTGTACTGATTCACATCCTGACTGCCAAGACTACCTCTTCACAAGTTTGCAGCGTGTTTGACAAAGCCGTGTGCCTTTCCAGGCTCAGCGTACTTACAAAGTAGTTAGTGGTTCAGAAATCTCTTCCCTGGGGTTAGCAGTCTGACTCCAACACATTGGCCTTAGATATGTGCAACAGGTGACATGAAAATGCACAGAAATGATGCAGGGTAACCTGCCAAAGCCTTCAGAAGCTCACTGTGCCCTTGAAGTGGGTCATCCTCAGGAGCTGTTGCTTTTCATCTACCCAGCAGGTGTGTGTCATCAAATAAATATCATAAAATGTCTTCCAGCCTGGAACAAACATCTGGCAAGGAAAAGAAGCTCACAGGCTTGCTGCCTATCATGCCTGACGGAGGGACGCCTCCTGAGATGCCCTTTCTTAACCCTGTGAGAAGCAATATTTTTATGAACAAAAGGTTTACTTTCCCTATTATCTCAGTCTCCTCTCCGTTTGTCTATTCTCCTCATCCTCTCGGCTAAGACGTTTCCAAAAGAAAGCAATCGCAACTCCACAACTCAGTGTTTAACAAATAGGACCCTTGAAGTGTGGTACCACAAAATCCTATTTCCCCTCAAATTCTGTGAGATTAAAAGACAATAACAGTAATAAGTAGGCTAACTGGTTTTCTTGGGACCTCCTGTTTCATCACCCTGGGTTAGTGTTTAAATTATTGATGCCCTCTCCTTTATGTTGGAAGTGTTAGGAGATAGTGAGATGTAGCAGCTTACAGTCTGCAGAGTTCTGTAATAACAGGCAGGGAGGTAGGAAATAATACATCCCGATTCTCATTGGATGTTCTTAAGCTTACCCCATTAGTACATGCTCAAATACCTGATGTCACTGAGCCAAAACTATTTTAAAAAGAAGTTAACCCTGAGTTCAAAACTATGAGAAGAAGTTACACTAGAGGAAACACTTGGATCCTAATGTGTTTGCCTTGCTTTCAAATTTCTGTACATCACTTCTCACCCCTGAGCCCAGACGATTCTCACAGGAGCACAGGCGCTATGCATGTCATGGGAGGAGGTAGTGAAGCTCAGCGTGACCTCGGGCGAGCTGTGTGGATCACTGTGATGTCTTCATACGCACGAAGGTTCTCGAGCACTTCCATGGTAGTTTCATTTGTTATTTTCCGGTCCAATGGTGTCCCCAAACTCTCAGATCACAAGCAGCAGTTGGGCTGTCATTGACTTAACCATTTCCTTCATGTCAACTAAACAGTGGTCACCTCTCTCAATATTATCAATGAGTTCATAGGTTTGATGACTCCTTAAAGTTGCTCATTTAGAAAACACTGGGTTATAAAAGCTATGTAGTTTAGAAAGGGCATGAGAACAGGCTGACACTTGTGTGGGTACCAGATGGTGGGCTTTTCATTAACTACTGAGAATTTGTAGACATTGGGCTTACAGCACCAAAGGAAAAATAATTCCTTCTCCTATGGAACCCACATTTTAAATATGAGGTGTTGGTGAACAGATAACCATCCACTGACTTAGTAGTATCCCTTGTCCAAAGTGCTTCTAACTGGAAGTGTTTCAGATTGTAGAATTAGGAGTTATTTTGGGAACAGACCTTGTCCACATGTGAAAAGAATTTATGTTTTATATTATATATATATACACATATATATGTTTTATACACATAGTGTATCATACATCTTATACTCATAGTGAGATGATAATTTTACATAGAATGTTAATTTGGTGAATAAGCTAAGTTTGATGGTATGGAATTTTCCCCAAGAGTGTCAAGCTGATGTCTCAAAGTTTCCAAGTTTAAAGCATGCTGGGTTTTGATTTGGAGGTCTGGGATGCTCCCGCTGTAATATAGTTCCAGACAGTGACATGTGCAGGGGGAGGCGTCAAGAAGGGAGGAGTACACTGAGCACAGATGCACACAGCACAGAGAAGAGCAAACTGTCTATTGCGTTCCCAGAGGACCTGTGTCCTTTTGAGCAATCCCTATAAAATGTAGTTATGGCCAGGATTAAGTCTTCATATGCTTGGGCTTCCTCAGATTACAGTCTCTCACAGACTAAGAGTTTTCACCAGAGGATGCATTTCTGGGACACAGCAATAAATGGGAATAATGGAAGGAAGAAGAGATGCCAAAGACCTGGGAAGGACCAAGCCCTCTTTTGATACTGCCTAGGGTTTCAGTGATGCCACCGCCTTGTGCCATAAGAAAATGAGTCTACACCTAACATTGACATGCCCACAGGACAACTGCAGCACCCTACCCCTTACTGAAGGTCAGGCTTGGTGAATGTGCTCTGGACAATTTGTCTTAAAAACTAAGGCACAGACTGAAACTAGAACTGCTAATGTGAAGAAAACACACCACTGAGGTACAGTCTGACTTCCATACACTTACGTTTTGAATACAGGTAGACTCATGTTTCTGGAGGCTGACTAGTATGAGAATGCTGCTGTGCTCCCAAGGCTGATGCACAGGAGGAGTTGCAGGAATGCAGCTGTGCTCCCAAGGCTGATGCACAGGAGTTGCAAAGCTGACACTGACATTCAGTGGTTATGTCACTGTGAGCAAGTTATGAACTTTTCTAATCCTTGCCCATAAAGGAAAACAGTAACGCCTCCCTTATGAGTTCATTCTGAGTGTTAAATGAAACCAAATGAGACCATGATTACATAGCAATTAGTGTTTAATTGCTCTTAAAATAAATGGCAATTAAGAGGAAAGTAATCAATGATAATGATGATTCAAAAATGATTGGCTTGGATCTTCAGTTAGAAAACCGAGGCAGAAAGCCTTGGCATCGGAGAGCTGAGTGTAGAGGAGCAGGCAATCATTTCCCGGAAGAGTCTGTGTGTGCAGCGCCGCCGGGGTAAAGACACAGCAATCAGGGAGCACAGAAGGCTCCTTCCCGGACCACGAGCCCCGCCTCAGAGCCAGCAGCTTTAGTGTGGGCAGGCAGTGGGACCACTCCAAGGAGTCTCAGTATACACAGAAACAGACAAGGGCTTCCTGACCTGTGACAGGAACTGCAGATCCAGGAGGAATCTAGAAGCAGGACATCATCGGCACGTGCGGTTTTGGGCTCTTGGGAGGCTTTCCCACACTTGCAACAGCTTTTGCTCCTCCTCATTTTCAAGCTGTCCAGTATCTGCCACTCTAAATTTACAAACAACAACAGCTGCGTGCACCTTGACAGTCTGCATCCATTACATCTGCATATGGCACAATGAGCTGTTATGTATTCAAAATCCCCAAACTCACACCAGTCTCCACTGGCAACAGAAGCAGACAAGTTCACATGTTTTGAAAGAGTGGTGGAGAGAGAGGTGGAGGTGGAAAATTGGGGTGGGCATGCATGTCCTGATGCATGATTTCCTTAATCAGACCCATGCTGCATGTCAACACATGCATGTCAGCGCAGGTTCTCTAGGGAGGAAAAGTCCCTCCATATCCCTACCCTCTCTATTTAGTCTGTCACTTTTCCTTTCCTCCCCTTAGGACTACACCTTTAGCTGGGTCTGTGGAGGGAGGGAGGGAGGGAGGGAGGGAGGGAGGGAGGGAGGGAGACCGAGACCGAGAGAGGGATGCTCTAACAGTTTGCATCATGGAGCCAGGTTGTATCATATAGCCCTCATAGAGTCTTAAGCACAATGTGGTTGAGTGGAGAAACAAATTCTTAGGAAGGGAGCCTAAGTAGATTTTTTTCCTGTCCACAGTCACGAGGTTTTACTGAATACACATGCAAGGTAAATAACAATTTCTAAAGTAAGACTTCAGGTTGGTGTTTGGTCGGCCCAATACAAAGTGACTCTCAACCTTCTTTGCAGAAATGGGAGAAGAATGAAGACACCCAAGGAGAAAGGTGGCATCTGAATAAGACAGAGCTGTGTGTAGGTCGTGAACAGAAAAGCAGTCTGGAATGAGGAGTCCTAGGTTTCTTAAGAAACTCGGTCATCCTTCCAAGTATTGAAAGAGCATCAAGGCCAGAAGATCTGGACTTCTCTTCCTGGGCAGCTATAGGGAGCCATCAAGCCATGCTCCTCAGTTCTTGTTCCTAAAGAGAAATGTGACAGGTGTCTTGTGCTGGAGGGACAGAGTTGATTAGGATGAAGTCCTGTGAGGAATAAAACCATACAGAGGTGACTGACTGTGGGAAGACCCAAATGACACTGTGTGTGTCTCTCCTGAGCTGTATCCTTGATCTGGTGAGAGTTTATTTTTTTGCTGTTGTCCAAGGAGACAGCATAAGCTATGGACTGCATAGGACAAAGTCAGTGACTCAAAAATCATCACTTGTTGGCATAGTCTCCATCCTGTTCCTCACAGAATTCAAAATGGTTTACACGAGCACACGCCAGTCACGTGTGAAAGGTTACTGTACCAGGACTTAGCCACCTCTGGCTCCTCAGCCAGCTTTGCCATTAACTTGACTGAATGGCTAGGGAGTGACCTTGAAGCTCACCAGGCCTGTGGACAGTGCATGCAGGAATAGTTTGCCAGTAAGAAGCTGATAGGCGAATACCAAGGATGTTTATTAGTAGTGGGAATGCTTTGTGCTTAATGGGTTAAACAAACACACTAACAAACACAACTATGATTAAAGTATGACACCCAACCTACATGGAAAGGGCCCCTAAACCTTAACAGTAGGAAGATCTTGTCCTGGTGAGCAAGGCTGCACTCTGGTCCTAAAAACAGTAAGTAAACTTGTTAAACTGCAAATGTTCGAAATGACTCCCAGAAAGGGCTATTTTGCACAATCTGATGATTTGGGATTTTGTCAAATTACTGTCACCAGATATGCCCTATAATTAGGAAAAATATTTTAAAAGTTTTAAAATGAAGCTATTCATTAACTCATTGATTTTTCTACAGATTGGGAACCTGAATTTAAATGATACCCAAAAATATAACTAGGTACACTCACAAAGAGAAGAATGGGCTATGAGTCTTTAAATGGAATGTAAGTTAAAAATGCTATTACTGTTCAGATTCTCTGAGAACATTAAAACTGCCCATTAAATAAAAATCTAGTAATTGGCCCACTGAATTGTGACATTTTGTAACCTGTACAGGAATGTAGGAAATTGTGGAAGAAAAGTCCTTTTGAGGCAGAATTTGATTTGCAGTGTAGTATTATTCTAGAAGCCAAGGTCTCATGCACACAATCACAAAAGAACAACAATGCATACTGCCTAATGAGGCCAAAGAAGGCTCTGGAAATCAGAGCACATGCTTATGACTCACGACTCCCCAAGGTGAGTTATATTACTGCTTAAGAAAAGTCAGGCAAATACATGAGCTCAGAGTAAACCCCAACTTGAAACTGGTTTCTTACTAGACACTGTTTATAAACATAACCAAGTCAGAGTGACCTACAATTGACAAGCTTACTCTGCAATACCACTAAATTAGCATGATACAGAGGTGTCGGTCAGGACAGAAACTTGATGTTACCCTGTGCCCTCTATGTGTGGGGGACTATGTCACACACTTTCCAAGTATGGAAGGCATATTCCTTGCTCTCGAGGGGCTGGGCATGTAGACAGTACACAAGACAGACAGTACTGATGTGTTCAACAGGAGCAGTAAGTCAAGGCAATGGTGGAGTCCAGCTTGTTAGTGTCATCTGGGCACTATAAATTCTAGAGCTGATGTGGGTGAGTTTTTGACAGGAGAAAAAGAGGACAGCAAATGTTCTAGCTAGAGGACCAGCAAGAATGAGCCAGAGCCAGAGGCATATCTCAGGAGTAAGATGGAGTTCAGTCTGGGCAGGCTTAGGAGAAGAAATGGGAGGTGGTTGTAGGAAAGACCACGCACACACACAGGGAGCTAGGAGAGCAGCAGTGGTCCTGCCCATCGACCCGCACCACAGACACTGCTATGGGCTTTTTGAATTGGCAGAAAAACTTTCATCTCTCCTTTTTTTCTTTTTTAATTTTTTTTTTTAATTCCCCAAGACAAAGAGTTTTGCTTTATAGCCCAGGATGGCCTGGAAGTCACGATCCTTCCACCTTAGCCTGACTAGAGCTTGGATTATAAGTATGTACCACCACACCTGGTTTCTGTGCAGGTTCAACAGTTAAAAGCACTGGCTGCTTTTCCAAAGGACCCTCCTGGTTCAATCTCCAGCACCCACATGGTGGCTAACAACCATCTATACCTCCAGTTTCAGGAGCTCTGACACCCTCTTCTGTCTTCTGTGAGCACTGTATGCAGGTGACGTGCAGATACACATACAGGCAAAACACCAACTCTCTCTCTCTCTCTCTCTCTCTCTCTCTCTCTCTCTCTCTCTCTCTCTCTGTTCAACTCTTTGTTCCTCTCTGGCAGTTTTTGTCAGAAAAGCCTCCAGACACTGACACAAGAGTGGACACCCAAGAAAGGCTGATGATCACTAGGGCCTGACGTTAAAGGAAATAAAGAGGGAATAACCAGGATTAGAGGACACCAGTGAGTGGGAGGTGAGTGAAGGGGATGAAGGGCCACTCTGGAGAGATGGTAAAAGGCCTTTCCTCATGTTCCCCGGGCCAAGTTCTAGGGAAGTTCCTATAGAG